ATTCGAGATATACATTGCTTACTTAAAAAACGAAAAAGGAATCTGACAAATGACATTGCCATAACTCCATGTTTTACGGTATTTTCTGTCATTTGAACTTTATACACGCTGAAAGTTGCTTTTGATGGAAATCACTGTAGCAACGTTGGAGGACACAACAATTATTAGCTCAATGACCAAGTTAAAAGAACAGCCAAAAAGTGATGACAAGAGAGGAGCGAATATTCAGAGTAGAAAACTGTTATTGAACTGTATTCCTCGATTGATACTGCCACCCTCTTCGCGTAATCACGTGATATTCCCTAAAGAAGTTTCGTTATTTCAGTATTTGCTGCCTCAATGAATTAATAAATACAATTATAGTTTACGTAAATATAAATTAATTTTTTATTAATTTTTTTAATAAAATTTAGCCCTTAAAATGTTAGAATAATAAAATTTAGTATATGCTATAAACCTTTTTTTATTGAGTGTCAGCAGACTTTAATGTTCTTGTGTCATTATTACGTTATTTAATTTTTAAATATTTTAAATTTAATTATATTTTTTTATCCATATAATAACACATTTTGTGACACATTTTTATAAAAATTTTTTTGTTAAAATTTAATCTTTAATAGTTAAAATTGATTAACATTAGTTTTGGACATTTCACTGGTAATCTCTATACATCTATGTCGAGATTTTTAACAAGACGTAGGTTTTTTAGTTTATTGTCAAAATAGTAGTTAAACTTTTCAAGTCTCAAGAATATAGAAAAAAGAAATAAAGGGAGAGAAAGAGACAAAGAAAAAGTGTATATATAAAAGAGAATTAGGAGACATTTTTGTAAATATTCAATAAGTTAGCACTTAATAGAAAAATAATTTTAATTTCTTAATATTTCATAGATTAAATTCTAAAAAAAAAATTATAAATCTTTATCACAAAGCATGTTACATTTATAGGGATTAAAATATATAATTAAATTTAAAATATTTTAAAAGTTAGATAACATGTGACCATAATGTATAATTGTTGAACTGAATTTTTGAGTTAGTTTAGCACTTAATAAGAGAAAAATTAACAATAAAAACTAAATCATATTATCTTAACATTTTAAATATTAAATTTTAACAAAAATATTTATAAAAAATATTACAAAATATGTTATATTTATAGAAATCAAAATTATATTTAAGTTAAATAAATAACAACAGATTAACATAAACACATAAATTAAAAGACTAATGAATGAATTGAAATGCACTACGTTTCTTAGGAATCTACTTTCTATTTGCCATTATAAATTTGAGGATGAAATGAAAAAATGTGATATGACCTAAATAATAGGATAAACGGTGAACATTAAAATTTATAAAATACAGCACCACTACAATATAGTGTATAGAACTCATATAAAACAATTTTAAATTAGATATTTAGAATTGATGTTTAAGAAGGATTATTTTTTATATATAATTTTTATAAATTACATAAATAAAAATACGGTGTTTTTTTAAAAAAATTACAAAAATATGAGATTTAAAAATTGTTGATAGCTATTTTTAGTGTAGAGACAGAAATTTAAAAACAAAAGATAAAAAAAAGTGATAGAATGTCAAAAGTTTCCAAATGATAATTTTTAAAATAATGATTCAATATTCAAAAAGTATTGAAAAAAATCAAAAATTGCCATTGATGGTTTTTGACTATAAGTCTCCAACAAAAATCTTTGAAAAGAATCATATTTCCATAATTTCAGCTAAAATTTCATATTTATTAAATTTTGAAAATAAAAAATTATACACAAAAAAGAGCCTGTTTAAGAATTAAGTATAAGGCATTGTAGATTATTCTAACCATCGTGATATTCTTATCCGTATTGTAACGAACGTTTTAAGTAAAATCAGATTTAAAAAAACTGTAAAATATAGTTAAAATATTTTAAGAGCTTGTTTTTTTTTATTTTTAAAAATTATATTTCAAAACATATTTTAAAAATTTAAAAGAAAAATAAATTTTTTAATAAATACATTTTTTTTTACTTAAAAAACTGTATTTTAATAGAAAACAAGCAAGTATTTGAAAAATTGTAGATAGACATGCATATTTGTCACAAAATACCACGCCACACAATCACTATTTAAGATGTTTGTACTTTCGTGATGAATCTCATTCTTCTCTTATTACCAAATGAAGAAAATGGACAAATTGTCCATAACATGAAGAAGGAGGAGTTAGTTTGTGCTACCTACTGTAACAATTTATTTTTTATCCGTCGAAAACTATTCAAAATTAATATTATGCTAATTTTGCATGATATTATTTGCAAAGAGATGGACACCATCACTTTCTCTCACAACTTAGATAAGACAATTGGTTGCGAAAGAAATAAAATATAGCAAAGTTTCTGGTTCATGACCCAGAAAAATAATAAAAAGTTGAACAGGTGATGATGATTATCAGAATCTTGTATAATCTATATATTCTGATCATTATATATGACAAAAAGCATACATCTGGTATTTGAGAGATACATTATACGTGCAAGCATTTAAAGGTATTGCACACCACATTAATATTGCTAATGACTGATCAATCAATCAAATACATTGGCAAAAGGAAATATATCATCGATCAGTAGTGAGAAATAGCTTCAGTATCTATCACAAGTCTGGCTTTGACTTGAGGTGACAATCACTTTAGTTGATAAACTATTGATTAAATTATGTGTTATTTTAATATTAAAACTTATTATCATGTGATATTATATATTATATTTTTTTCATTAAAAAACTTTGCATTATATATATATATATATATATATATATATATAGTGTGGAAAAAAAAAATTTCATACGAGTGTAAGTTTAAAAATTTTTACATTCGATTTGATCTTTTTATTTAACTCATATCTAACGGGTTATAATTTATTATTTTATTAACTGTTAGATGTAAGTTAAATAAAAAGTTCATATTGAATATAAGAGTTTTTAAACTTATATTAATATCGAGCTTGTGTTATATGTGTACTTATTTTCTTTTAAAGTTGATGATGTAATCATTTAATTAAGACGCCTTTGTATTTTGAATGTATTATTGTACATTGGTTATGGTATGAGATAGCTTGAATTCATGTATGCATAAGTTATATGGTTGTCAAGTAAAAAGTTAATGCATGTTGTATAAATTTGAAGGGTTTTGGTTCATGTAGAACTTCAATATATCTCGCTATAGCAAAAATAAGTCATCCAAAATAAGAATAAGATTAAACCAACAAACCTCTCGCTGTAGCAAGAGAAACCCTAGAGAAGCTCTTTATAGCAAAAATGATAGATAATAAAAAGGATCCATTGTCTAGTATATCTTGTTTTAGTAAGAGAATTGTGAGTTGATGGGTATTTAAGGGAATTTTGAGTTCAAAGCTTTCATTTCTCACCAAACCACAATTTCCTCTCACTTTCTCTCTATTCTTCCACCTTCTTCCCTTAGAGAAAGTTTTTTTAATGTCAAACTTTTTCCTTATTCAAGTGAGAACTTTCTTATTATGTGAATTTAGGTGAGTTTCCGAGATCTCGTTCTTCAACTCTACTTCTTACTTTTTGAGTTTCTCTCTCAAAAGTTCTCATATTCTAATAGTGAAGATATCTGAGCTCCCAAGTGTTTTTTTTTTTTTATTATTAAAACTCGCGTGGAGTTCGATTCAAGAAAATTTGTTCCAGATAAAAGAAGCTTACTCTAGAAAGCTTTTATTACTCATTTGGGGTGTTGTAATGTTGTATATAATCTTATTTTTAGCTAAAAATGAGTGGACTTATGAACAAACCTTAGGATAAAACTATAGTATGTATGACTAAGGAAATTTTTTGTTTATCTATGACTGTGACGAATGACAGGACAAATAAGATGAAGATGCGAGGACATCTTCATGTATCACTTTATAAAAAAAAAAAAAAACTCCATCGTGTATATGTATTCTAAAATAATAGTAATGAAATATGTAACTATTCAACAATATATCAACATACAAACTTACAACAAAACACACTCATAAAATGGGTTGGTCTTTATCTTGTTTAATTTAAATTGAGTGTGATTATTAATTGGATTTAACTTCACACGAAATCAATTTGTCGATGATTTTGTGAATGATTAATGACGCCAGTATATAATTTAAATATAATTTGCTGCTAAATCATAAAATTTTAAAAGTTAGAAACCAAAAGTGGTAGTAAACGAATTATATCTAGTACTTGTATATTATCCTTTTATGAATAAGGTATTAAAATAAATTCAAAAGTGTAATAATTTTTCATTTTTTTAAAAAAAAAACATGTTAAAATATTATGCAGTAATACACCAGGTTATATCATTTTCTAACATAAAAAAAATACAATTACTCCGATTTTTAATACTCAGCTATTTAATTTACTCGCAACAAGATGAGTTATTAGTCTTTTTATTTGAATAATTAAAAAAATCTATGTACAATTATAAATTTTTATTTTTATATGATTATTATTTTTAATATATATATATCAAAAATAAAAAATTGTTTAAAAAAACATTTTTGGACGGGTTATTAGACCGAACCAACTCTTGAGGACCCTCAATGAAAACTATGATACTTGAATTGGAACCATATGACAAAAAAACTATATTACGTTTCGTTGCATCGATCTAACTTCCCAAAGGCATCACTCATCTAATTCTTCCAACGTGGGACTTTCCCACCTGACTTGTGTCCCATCATTAAATAATTTCTGCAAATAAAAAAAAATTATGAAGGCAAAGCTAATTTCAAAGGAGGCATCAATTGATATGTTGGAAAATAGTAAGTGGTGTTGACAGAAGTCACGACAATATATCAAAATAATCAAAGAAAAAAAATATATATTCTTCGCCATATATAAGGATTCAGTGTTGAATATTTTTTAGGAGAGATCCATATCAAGAAAGATCTCATAACGATTTCCATTCCCCCTGTCTCACTTGCTTCATTTAGCCAGAGAAAGGAAATGGTTGACCGTAAAAACAGCAAGGTTGTTATAAGAGAATTTAATGAAGATATAGATGTTAAAATGGTGAGAAAGCTTGAGAGGAACTGTGAGATTGGGACTAAAAAGTTGGTCTCCATTTTCACCAACATGATGAGTGACCCTTTATCTAGGATTAGGCTCTACCCCCTTCATGTTATGCTGGTAGGTGACTAATATCCCTTTTTCCATCTTACATTATTAATTGTCCTTCAAATATTCCACATTTTCCATACACTATCTTTTTTTCTTCTTCTCTAACATGAAACTTATTCACCTATTTCCAAAACATATATATTTAAGTAAATCATCACATGATTTTTTATATATTTGTTTTACATAATGACCAGGTAGCCGAGCTTCTTGAAAGCAGGGAACTTGTTGGAGTGATTCGGGGTTGCATCAAGAGGGTGGGGACTCTTTCTGGATCACTCTTGAAGATGGGTTGCATCCTAGGCCTCAGGGTGTCTCCTACTTATAGGTAATAATAGTCACTTCCTTTCATTTAGTTGGATGCAAATTTGGAACTTGACTTGAAAGCAAGGGATTGCAAAATTGGTTACAAATTATTGTTACAACTGCATCAGTCTCATTTAGCAATATCTACAAAACTACAAATTAAAACCTTGATTGTGGATCGTTATTAAGAAATATTTTTTTTCTACAGGAGAAAAGGGGTTGCACTAAAACTTGTCACAGCAGTTGAAGAATGGATGGTAAGAAATGGAGCTGAGTACGCACTCCTAGCCACTGAAAAGAATAATGATGCCTCTAAAAACCTATTTACCACCAAATGCAACTATGTGAATCTCAGCTCACTTGTTATATTTGTCCATCCAACTAGTTCCCTTACAAAGAACATTTCCACAAGGGATGTAATAATAGAGAAAGTGGACATAGATCAAGCAATTTTGTTATATAGAAGAACCTTGAGGGCCAAAGATTTGTATCCATTAGACATGGACATTATTCTAAAGGAGAAGCTCAGCTTAGGCACATGGGTAAGTTATTTCAAAGAAGAGGGCTGGCTCAACTTGTTGAATAAGGTACGTAGTGAAGATAGTATTATTAGCAAAACCTCAAGCTCATGGATCATTTTTAGTATATGGAACAATTGTGATTATGAAGCTTATAAACTTGAAGTTAGAAAGTCTCAGCCACTAAGGTTTCTTCATACAACTTTAAATCATGCAAGAGAGAAAATTTCCCCTTGTCTCAGAATGTTGGCGAGTGGCTCACTATGTAGATCCTTTGGGTTTCTCTTCCTCTATGGACTCCATGGAGAGGGAGAGAACCTTGGGGAGCTTATGGAGTCTATATGGAGATTCACATCAAGAATGGGAGAAGGTATGAAGGACTGTAGTGTGGTTATAACTGAGTTAGGGTTCGGCGATCCACTGGCCAGCCATGTTCCTCAGACAACTTCTATGTCATGTATTGATGATCTCTGGTACACAAAGAGACTTTCAAGCCACGGCGATGAAATGGTGATGAAGGGAGAAGTGGGAAATGTGTTCGTTGACCCTAGGGATTTTTAGGTATATAACCTTCAAGGCTTCAAATTAAGTTGACCTAGATTGGCTGCTAATTAATCTCAACATAAATTAAGGCTTATATATGTATATCCTTGACATGCAGTTAACCACTTAGCTAGCTTAAAGCAATTGTATTCATGATTAGTAGGTTATTATATTTTTGTTTTATTATTTTAATTCTCTGTCAAACTCAAACAGTTCTGTTGTTATTACTGTCATGTCATGAATTAGTAAATATGATTATTCGACTTAAATAAGTTTTTTTTAATGAAAAAACTACTCTTAATTTAAACAAAAAAATATTTTGTGGTTGTAAAAAATGGCCAATTAATTATGTAATAAGATAAACTTTAAATTATGTTCTTTTGGAATTATTAGATACTGCCAGTCATAAGTTTTTATATTTTTAAAAATTAAAACTAATTTTTGTGATTTTTAGTTTTCAATTCTAGTATGAAGTTTTAAAATTAAATTAAATAAATTATTTCTCAAATTCTCATTTACTCGTTTCTTTTTTGCTCAAAACATTTTTTATTTCATTAATTTTTGAACTAGTCAATCGTTATGGGGGACTCATGGCACCAACAGCAGTAGTGAAAATAGGTTGCAAAAATGATAATAGTAATGACCAACTATGACGAAAATAATAATAATAATAATAATTTTTTATTTCATTAATTTTTTATTTTAAATAATTTATTTTTTTTCAAAATTATTTTTGTTTTAAGGGATAATTATTTCAAAATTAAGTAATTCTATTTTAAAATTAATATTTAAAAATCGAAAACGCATAACTATGTATCCCAAACATAACATATTTTTGGTATTAAGTTACTAAATGAAACAATGGCATACAAGTATATCTTTGCCTAACACTTTTCAATGGAAATTAGTTGATGCCAGAAAGAAAGGATTACAAATCATTGTTTGATTTGTATAACTAAGTTGTTGAAAGTTTTATATTACCAAATGGCGCCTACAGAGGGTATGGCTTATCTTTTGGTACCACCATCAAAGTGTTTCAAATCAAATGGAAATCGATCACCTCATAGTGGACACGTAAACAGCTGGTGTGCTGATGGCATGGTTTCGCCTCAGGTTATCATAACTTGAGGGACAATTTTTGTGTTCCTGCATCATCACAATGCTATTCTACATCGATCCAATATTATGGCCCCATTTAAGGTAAGTACTGATCTAAGTAGAAGGGATTCTGATACATAGTTTTGAATTTATTTTGGTAATAACTGAAAAATATATGCTTCTATATAGTTGGCTCTCTTTTCCTGGAACATTTTACACCCATTTGGATCCTAATAAACTACCTAGTTAAAGAATTAACTGCTCTTAAAATAATAGTTCTTGATGAATACAAATAATAGAACATATATCATCTTTCTATATATTTAATGATTATAATTATCCCACGTATCTATTTTGTACCATGATCGAGTTCATGGCCATTTCATTGGAGAATAATCAGTCCACATGATGCATGCAAAATTACTTTGGACTACAAATGGTTTTTTATTTGTTTTCTTTTTCTGTAATCCTAATTTCAAGTTCTTTGTCTTCTCAATTATTTGTCGTTAACTAGCCACCACTCATTGTTCCTTGTTATTTTGATTTCATCCCATCGTTATATATCATAATAATACTGATAAATCAACCGACATATTGTTGCTATATATACTGGTGTTATTTGTGAAAAAATAAGTAACTATATCATATATTATAATAAAACTAGATTTTTCAATTTTTCGTAGAAAGTGTTCAAAAGTAAATTGATGAAACTCAAATAATCAAGCTGCATTCTAGTGAAATTTTTCAAATTTAGCTGGATTCCCATGAGTGCCATCAATGACATTCGAAAATGGTAAAATAATTATATTAAGAAAGAATTAATTACAGTATAATTTCATTATAATCTTTGTACACAACATTTTTTTTTATTTTGGTCTTTATATAAAAAAAAATGAACTATACATATTAAAATAAAAAAATGTTATTTATAAGGACAACAACGAAAATATGTCTTATGCATATGAATCAAAGTAAAAAATATATTATATATAAAGGCCAAAATAAAACTCACGTTAACACAAGTTAACAAATATTATAATAATTTTTGACAAGTTATAAAAGATGATTTATTAACATTAAATAATATGACTATAAATTAATATAGTTATAAAATTATTATAAAAGTTAGTGTTATAGAGTTTGGTAAAGATTTATTTTGGTGTTGTACCCTTTTAGTACTTTTGAAACGATTAGTTAAAAGATTGTTTGATGATAAAACACATATACATTGCTTAAATAATATTTTTAATGTTTTCCTCCTATAAAATTGAATGTCAACACTTAAAGAACTGTATTTAAATTTTGTTCATAAATTAAATAATCATCATAATTATAATTAGTAAAATAAGTAAATTTAATAAAATTAAAAAGAAGGTGGTTAGTAATCTCGATTGAAAAAATTAATAATTTTAACATTTAAAAATCAATTCACATTCTTTCTTCGTAATCTCTCATAATAAAAAAAAAATAAAGTAAAATACTTTTAACCTATATTTCAAACATCAACTTCACAAAACAGTCTCCATATGTGTTAATTTACAATTATATTGTTAAATTATTAAATCATCTTTTATATTCTATCATCATAATTGAATTTTATATAATTTTTTTATCCTTTCATAAAATGCATTTTTATTTTAACCTCTATAATTAAATTTTTATAAGAATTAAAATAAAAAAATATTTTGTACAAAGACCACAATAAAAAATTGTATTATGCATAGAATCAAAATACATATATTTAAATATGAGATAACATTTCTATACAATAGAAATTAATGTCAATAAATATTTTTAAAATATCTTTTTATTTAGGAATTTATTTATAATTTTTTATAAGAATAAAATAAAAAACAAATTTTGTATAATAACTAATTAAAGTAGTATTTAAACTTAAAAATAAAAAATTGAGAATTTATAACACTACAAATTAGTAAAATAATCTCTTTTACCAAGCAAATATATATATATATATATATATATTAAGGAAACAAGATTTTAAGCCAGTCGAATAAGTTAAATTATAATTATGATCTATATTTTTAATCTATATGTTGATATTTCGGTTATATTTATGAATGACTTTTAGGTTTTCCAAAGGGAAGCTGACAAAAGAGCACCAACCAAAGTAAAATAGTTGCAATTATTCAGATGAAAAACAGAAAAATAAGTTCTAATAATTTAAATATCGACAATTCTTACGCAGTGCCCCTATAGCTCAGTGGTAGAGCGTCAGTCTTGTAAACTGAAGGTCTGTAGTTCGATCCTGCATGGGGGCATTTGTTATTCTTTTCACTTTTACTGTTCTGAATCAAGGGGAACACCGGTCCTGCATGGGTTGGGTTTAATATACGTAAGCAAGCACTATTTTTAAATCTTAATTTTAGGATTTGGTCTAAGATATATATATATATATATATATATATATATATATATATATATATATATTCCTTTTATTAGACAAATTTTTAAAAAAGTATATATATGTTTTTCTTTGTGTTGGATATAAATATTCAATTTCGAGATTGACTTTTTCTGAGAGAAAAAAGTGATTGCATTTATTTTTAATAAATAGAATTTTTTATTATTATTTCCGTAGTAAATTTTAATAGCGAGAATGAAAAGTAATAAAATTTAATACATACTAATTATAACAACTAAAAATAAAATAAATAAGACTTAAATAATATTTTAATCTTTTAAAATTCATAATTGTTTTACTTGGTTCTTTTCTTCTTTTTTTAATCTATTTTTCCAAACACCACTTTTTATTTTCATTAGGTCTCTTTGCAAATGGTTTTTTAACTAGTTTCATTGTTTAATTACATAACATCTAAGTAATTTATAATTTGACTAAAACATGAAACAAATGAGATATGTCATTAATATTATATCTGTCATATTTCTGAATAACATTTTGGTTATAAGATTAAGATTTTTGAAATTAAAGCTGAAGACAGTGTGTCATCGTTTTCCAAAAACTCCTTATCATATCATGAGACGACGAGTTAAAAGTCACATAGACATATAACAAAAGAAAAATGATGAATTACAAACAAATAAACTATATGAGAATGAAAAACAATGTTTAAAAACTTAATTAGACAAAAATTAAAAAAAAAAAACCTAGTAAAAAAATCATAAGTGAAAATTATTAAAATATGAACAAAAATCATTATAAGAGTAAAATTCATAGATTTTTATAAATTTTAATAAACCTTAATAAGTAATAAAGAGTGTGTTTAAAAAGAGTATTACAAATTGTATTGCTAATATTTTTTAAGGGTAGCTTAATTTCAAAAAATTATTTTTATTTTTTATTTTCAACTTTAATTGCAATACTATCATCTTACCCTCAATTTTGTTTTATATTTCAAATATTTATACAGCAAACCCTGAAAATAACATATTTCTATTTTAACTATTTCTTGTACAAATTTGTGAAAATAAACAGAATAAAAATAAGGCGACAGTTTTATAATTAAAACTAAAACAGAAAATAAATACAAAAAACATTTTCTGAAACTCAGTCCACCTCTGAAGTATATATCTTTTCCCTTGCGAGTTCTGAGAATTGCAGGGCCAACCCCTACTATGATTTGATGGAGGGAAAACGGGAATCCAAAAACAACTTCATTGTATTATGAATGTCGGGGTTATTTACAGTCCTCGCAATGCAGAGCTTCCAATCAAATCGTCAAAACTGTTAGACCAATCAGGCTTTATTCCAAGTCAAGAAAATAACATCTATAATCTCACTTTTGCCAAGGACAAAATATAATTTCGACAAAAGTGGATTAACCAAGTTCAATCGTAGAAATTGTCCTTTATCGACTCGGGAAGAAACTCAAGCCTTTTCAAACGATAAAAATTAATTACCAACCCAGCGCCTCTTTCGTGCTGGCCTATGTTGCTTCATTTCAGCTGTATCTACTACAGAATCATTGTTGAGCTTCAAACTCTCTTCGGCTTCTTTCTTCATTGCGATGGGCTGCTTAAAGCGCTCCCTACGTTTCTCCATTTTAGCTAATGAATCAAGAATCCTCTGACTGTCAAAGTTGCCTATAAACTGGTCAGAACTATTCTGATTTTTTGACATTCTCTTTTTCACACTGGCAGTCACTGCTGCACCTTCATAAACATCTCTTCTGGACACACAAGCCTCAATGCATGGTTCTTCTGTTACAATCTGACCTTCCTCGATATCTGAGCTTTCTTTCTGCCCTTGATCTGGAAGGTTCTGAATACATCTTTCATTTTCATGGCTGCTCTGATATTCTAAGGTGTTGAATTTACTGGCTTTTTTATGAGATTCATCAAAACCCACTGAGGCTCTCTGCTTCTTAGCAATCCCCTGATCGACATATTCAAGCCTACCATTGTACAAGACTCTGGAACTTTTCCCGTGAAACTACACAATCAAGAAGACACATCACAAATTTACAATTAAACCAAACACCAGGACAATAAAAAACAGTGATGTTGGCATATACAGAGTAATGCATCAAATACATAAGAGTGAGATGTGACAAATGGGAACCTTAATGTCAAAACATAGAAACTAACAGAATGCTCAATAGTAGTAATAAACCATTAAAGTGACAACATGATAAAGGTATAAAACACCTTTCAAGCTTACTTACGAAGCCAATACGAAAAAACAAATGTACCATACAATAGTCATTGAGGTTATGCATATGCTAACTCATCCAGTTCAATAAAACACAGCATACAACAGGTTCATGTAACGCTATATGCTTCTGGACCAATCTAATTCCAAGAAAAACAAGAACTAGAATTATGAATGACACTGAAACTATCAAATTTATCACAACAAAATAATCTACGAACGAAAATGAGGCCATAACAAATTGAATTTGTTAGACGGGGCAATGTCTTTTCAACACAAAATCAACAAACAATAAATACACCTCCACACTGCCAATCATCTGTTCTGGAAAATATTTTAAATAACTAAAACTTCATTTAAAGGAAAAAGACTACAACACAAAAGCCAGAAACTAGTCATTACAGTATAAACATCTTAAACATATAATAGGCAGACAGGCAGTTTTAGCAGGGAAAGATAAAAATACCTGAGAAGACATATCCTTATTGCCCAAAACACTAATTCACGACTATAAAAATGTTCAAAAACCAGATCAAAGACAAACGTGCAAGTCCACTTTCTATATTGAAAAATATTTCTACATAAAAATCAATGCAGACTTCCAAAAGTGATAAAATGTTACAAGTATTTAGCAGATCCATGCATTGATAGAAATGAGTGCACAATGCAAAATTGACAAGTTAAAGAGATAGTCTCGCCCAACTCTCTCCCCAACCTGCATATAAAGTTAATCAAGAACATAAAACAACATGGTATGCCCATCAAGATCTAAGGACAAATTATAATCTATTAATAATAGATACAAAATTGTAATGCATATCAATATCTAATCTAACAAAATGAGAAATTAACAAAATCAATAAAAAAAAATGTGCCAGAAACATACAATATCCAATGTGGAAACTTCAATCAATTAAAATCTAAAAGATAATACAGAAAACATATAATATAAGCCCATTGATTATCTCAAGCCAAGAGATCTATGGTTGTGGCCCTGATCAGGTATGCTCGTTAGTTATGTCGATGGCAGTAAGCTTAATCACCACAACCCATTACCATATTATGTCACATTCCCAGCACAGCTTAAATATTAATTTCATAAATGGTTTAGAAGCAAAATGAAAAAGGGAGAGAGAAATTTTATTTGTTATGAACCATAATCAAGCCTCATCCTACTGTAAAAATAAAAACTTGGCATACATAGACAACAATATTACTGTATCATAAAATAATACTAAATATAACATTATTGTTTCAACTTCAAGGAACTTCACAGATTTGCTTCATATTCTTGATCTGAGAATCTAGAATTTTTCTTGAGTGATACTGAAAACCAAGCACATCACTAGGATATGGAATCAGTCCAAACTTCAAAATATAGTTTTTAAACAAATAAAAGTTGAGAATGAAAAGATAAAACACAGTTAATAATTGGGAGAGGTAGTATGGTGGACACTAAATGAGATAACAGCTACCAAAAAGAAATAAAGCACAACGGATGTTGAATAGATCATATTTATAAAGCACAAAAGTACAAGTTCTGGACCATATTTCCCCCATCTTTACCTTTCCTTCCCCATTAATGAAGTCAACTGATTTCCTGTATCTCAGCACTGCTTGCCCACCCTTACTTCTGCACATAGTCTTGGAGCCATATTTTAAATATTTCATATTATCTCTCCTTGGCATATTTAGCTGATGCCACTGCAATTTCATATCATCACATTGTACCTTAGCATGCAGAGATGTTGAATCAGTTTCGTGATGCCTACAAATAATTTCATCCCGGGTCCATTTCAGGAACTTAGATGGGGACCTGCAAAACTGAAAATCTTCTACAGGATAAATTGTGAAATCATCATCTTCAGCAGCATCACTATAATCACCTGACCAGTTACTGTCACTATTGTCTCTAGCATGTTTATGTCTCTTACAACCCCCAGGGTTTTTGTTTACTCTTGCACCATATGCATAAATTCTCACTGAATCTTGATAATGTGTATATTTCTGACAATTATCTTCCATTTTCCCAGAACACAAGTTATTCAAAACAAAAGGGGGCCTGTCACAATGTCTTTTCCTTCGGACAGATCTTTTCCAATCACTATCAATATGTGGAAACTGTTCTTCATGTTTATTATCTAAGGATTCCATTTCTCTGTCAGCAGCAGAAGCAGACATCCTGTAGCTTTTGTTTAGAAACTCAAACTCGCATTCATCAAAATCATTAATGCTGTTTCTGTCTACAAAATAGAACTTGTCCTCCATTCTTCTCCTTTGAGTATTGCTCCCCTTATCAAGAAAAGATGTGTGTTTTGGAAAAAACTGCCTTGACTCCCTATAAGAGGGAGGACTCAGGTCATCAGAAGAATACCCCCAACCAAGATGATACCAATCTCTCTCACTATCTGCAATTCTAGGACCAGGTTTAAAAAAATAACCCCCCACATCCCCTTTTCTTCTGTCATTTCGGTTCAGATTATCCCTGAAGCTTTCTCTATCTTCTCGATAATATTTGGAGCACTGTGTAACCAGGTCATCAACAACCTTTTCACCACCATAATAGTAGGATTTTTTTGTTTCCCTGTTATATGAAACGTCTCTTTTATGACTGCCAAAAAGGGGCAGTTGTTTATGTCTGTCATAATCAACAAATTGATGACCCGACAGAGACAAATCCCTTGCACTAGACCTGGGGATGGACGAGAAATCATCATCATATCTAATGTGTTTATTCAGATTATAACCAGGTTCATTTCTATCACTTTGGTACCTCCATTCCTTTCTGAATGGACCCCTAGTTCTTGAAATATATGCTACATTTACTGCTTTTCTATTGAAACTGTTGTTCTTTGTGTTCTTACAATAAAGTGGCGAAGACTCTTTCATGTCAGTGGCAGAATTTAATGATTTCCTTCTTAAAGGGCTAAGACCTTTATCATTATTGACATGTACACTGTTTTCCGTTTCCTCATAATCACTATCGGTATAGGAAGTCAGGCTATGCTCTTGATCTCCAAGTGACAATTCTGATTCAATCCAGCATGGGTAAGAACTACAAGTGTCTATGCCACCACCTTCCTCTGGTTTAATTTCTCCAACTGCCACTTCTGCAGTATCTTCAGAATGTTGGCATGCTCCATCCTGATGCTCGTGTCCATCTACACCAGGAATCAAGCCACTTCTGTGAAATGAAGAATCCCGACATAAGTTGTGAAGATGATAATAACAAGTCCAATTTATTTAACCAAGAAGTGATTTCAAGATTGAGAATCAACTTGTAATAAGGAATGCTGACAACAATACGTAAGAAATGATTATCCACACAATAAAGTATAATTATTATGTAGTATGCTTTTTACCCGATAACATTTTACTGACAATCAAGGCAAAATGTTGTAGATAGGAATTTTCTATATTTCGCAAATCAAAGACCAAAGACATGCATATATTCATTTATCTTGAATTTTACAACTTTATCCATTCTTCTAGCATGGAGTATGAAGAAATGAAAAAAAAAGCCTCAATGAAGTTTAAACAGAACTATATCCAAGGATCTTCATGAGAAAATATATTATAGAAAGGAATCAGTCAGATGCAGTGTGTCAGACCTTTTCTGAGCAGAAGAGTCCTCTGATTTTTTTCCATCTTCCAATTGATCTTCAGACAGCACTTCATCACCTTCACTGGATGAATTGAGAATATTTCTGTTATTTCCTAACAAAGATTCCCCTTCTATTGATCCATCCAATAATGTGCTATTGCCAGAACCAGAATAATCATCAGACGATTCAACCAGCTTGATCTGCCCAAAACCAATAATAGTAACTACATAGACATACACAGGTACAGCATAAAAATTGTGGTAAACGTAGAGTGAGTGCACACACCTCGATAATATTAGAGTCCCTATTGCGTGGGCGTCTTACATCTATGGATGGTTGCCGTTCAACTGTGCTGCCCTCGACCTGAATTGCTCTGCCTTTTGGCTGAATTATCAATTATCAGTCAGCATCAACATCCAAGTTCATATTTCCAAGCAACAGTTAATAAGATAGCTTGAAGAAACTCACAAAATATCAAAAGCGGTAAAAGGGAGGGGAGGGGGGAGGGGGGGGTAAGAAGCTCCGAAATATTACTCTGAATGTGAGTGTGAGATGTGTTACAAAACATTGATCCAATGCTCCTATTTATGCTAATGACCTAGGTCAAGCACTAATTTAGTTTAATCAATACAAATCCATCCTACTAAAAACTGTTTAACAGTTTAACATAACATGACTGATGACTCCTAACACATGAATAACCCTAATATTTTAATAAGAGCAACCCAACAGCTGAATACCATCATACCAATTCACAAGCTGATGAATGAAAAAGTACATTCCCAGACGCAACTTGATCAGTTTGCTCTCTCATGGCTTCCTGAAAAACTTATCCCGGTCAGCAAGATCAAACAAGAGAATTCTCCATAATAACACAACTAAATTACTTAAGTAGTAATTGTTCTTTTACAAATATTATGTTAAACACCTGATTCCATTTTGCAGAGTCATCAACAGATATACCAGTTTGCAAGGACTTCCGCCAAAGCTGCTCCTGCACACAGTTTAAGTGTAACATTCTTATCAATTGAGTTTCACAGAGTGTCAATTATCTCAGCATTAAAACATTAAACGATAACCTAGTTGGTAGCAGAAATTCCAGTACTGCTAGCTAGAGAAATGGATAAATATACCAGAATCTAACCAGAGAGACAAGAATCAGACAAAAGCTAGAAAGTGACACCTCTTGGGCATAATAATACACCTACCAATGAAACACAGTATAGCTTCCAAGTTCTGTCGTCAAAACCAAAGTTAAAGTAATCCGTTATGTCAACTCCAGGAACTTTCCATGGCTTCTCCATTAACGTATCAATGTTTACATCAAATATACCCCTGCAATGTCAGGGGGAAACCAGGATAGCAGATAAGATTAACAAATGCTAGCTAGAACATATGTCCAAAAAACCATAATCATTACAAATTCCAATACTTCAAATTGTGATCACACTGAACTCTGCAATGACACATCGTGCTTAGTTTATCAAAGAATCAAAATCAACCAAGGTCTGTATGAACCGCATATCAAAACGCATACACTAACCAGTACCAAGGAAGAAACGATCCATATCCACACTGAGAAGAGCTCGACGCAAGGTTCTGAATGCCAGTATCACCATTCCACCTGCCTTTATTCAAAGACGAAATGTAGGAAGCCGTCCCCATGGATGAATTTACCTTCACATTATTCACAAACATCGATCCTCGACTCTTCACACACTACAGAAACAAACCACAATTCACAATAAACAACATAACTCTGACAATTTTAAACACTACCACAATGCCACCTAATGGAGAGAAAAATGCGTAGCACCACTTAACTGAAAAGCAAAAGGTTTAAAAAAAAAAGGAAAGCAATCCAAAAATTACTCCATCTACGAACCGAATCTAATTTTTATTTTATATACATAAATAAAAAAATATACTTATTCATTAGCGTATCCACAAGTAATTGAAACAACAATCCGGTTCCAAATTCTCCAACACCTAATAAAACAAAACATTTTGGAAACCCAACACAAGCCATGAAGAAAGTGAGAATAACGAGCACCTTAGGATGAAAAACTCTGGAACCATTATCACCACCTTGATCCCCATCGCCATCCTCATCACAATCAACAACTCCAACTCCGACAGAAAAATCCTCGTCATTCAATACAATTTTCAAACCGTCGTCATCGTCGTCGCTGTCACTCGCAACACAATCATCATTTACTGACTCGTTGTTCTTCTCCTGCTCAAGCCTGATACAATTACTGTTTACATCGAGCTTTTCTTCTTCGTCTTCTTTGGGAACTTCAACGTCGATGGCGTAGAGTTCTCCGAAATCGTCATCAACAAGAGCTTCCATTTTCAGTGACTCACTCACATCACAGCCACCAAAACCCCTAACCTTTAAATATCTCATCCACTACTATCTTTCCACTTGTCTAAAACCCCATTATCTTTTCTCTAAACCCTCACAGAATCTTAAACCCTATCACGCTACCCTTGTAAATCGTATTAAACATTAATAAACTGCATTCAGTTCAAATAATTAAATATTGTTTACAAATATTTGAAACACGTTCATTAAGAAAATAATAATTACAAATTTTCATTAAAAATTATAGCAAAAATATATTTTATTTTTTACAAAAATTGATTTCTTATTTCATTTACTAGTTAGTACTGGTAAAAAAATAAACAATTATCTATTGTGTATCCATAACAGATGTATAGTAGGAAAATATTAAGAATATTTTATTAAATTACTTAAAAAGATAGATGTTAGATATTTTTGTATTTCTAATAAAAATAATTATTTTCTTGTCAGTAAAAGCTTTTCTTTTCATTTTTTATAATATGTCAATAAACATATAACAAAAATATCCTTAAATTAAATATTTTCTTTTTATAGAAGAGAAACGATTGACTTCATTTTAGTTTTCCATTTTATATTATCATTTGTATCACACGAATGGATAAAGATATTTTAATTTACTTTACGCAAGGTATAAAAATTTCAATTATCTAGAGCATGTTTGTTTTTTATTTTAAAAAGAATTTTCTCTTTTTAATATTTCTGTCACTGAAGTTTTGCTTTCCATATTTCACGTATGGAGGGTTACATAGGGCATTTGAACATTAACATTTAACAAAAATATTATATGAAAAAGATATCTGCCTATAAATAAACAAAAATTAGTCTTAAAGTAAAGCATAAATTAAAAAAGTATTATTGCAAAATAAATTCAGTAAAATATTCAAAAACATAATTCTTATGAGAAAATATCTGCCTATAAATAAACAAAAATTAGTCTTAAAAGTAAAGCATAGGACATTTTTCGGTTATAACACATAATTATTTTAAAAGATATAACTATTTTTCGCTTTAGAAATTCATACCATATATGAGAGCTTGTAATATTATATTTGTTCTCCGTAAATAAAATTCAAAGGGTGCAAGTAATAAAGAAAACAAAACATTACTTTAAATATATATAACAAGTAAATATATTTATTAAATTATTCATCTTAAAAGCAAGAACCATTTAATTAAAATGAAAAAAAAATGCCTGTGCTTTTTTTAAAAGCAATTTTTAATGTTGTAAATAAGGAGATATTGATTTGTCTCAAGAATTCAGTAGTTTTAAAGAATTTGGACCTATACCTTTTGGATAAATAAAAGCAGACATCAATTTATGTCTAATTTGGATTAACTTCTTAATAAGTACTTATATGAATAAAAAATATAATAAATTAATTTTTATATATTTTTAAAAATATTGTTTAACTATTTTATAACTCAAAAAAATAAATTATTTTAACTTATAAAAATTATTTATTTTTTTATATAATTTTTTCTCACAAGAACTTATTTACATATTCACTCTTAGATTTCAAATAATATTTGTTCTATCTTTCTTATTAGTTAAAATAGAACTTGATATTATCTTGTATAGTTAAAAAAGTATATTCTTAGTTAAAATAAATTTATTTAGTAGTGTTAATTCATTTTTCATTTGTATGAATTTTTATAAATTTTTTCTAATCAAAATATCTTTCAATCAACAGTTATATATATAATAGTTACATAAAATTAAAAAAAGACTTTAGTTATATTTTATACATTTTATTTTGTGCTTTTATTTAAATAATTTAAATTTTTTTAATTAATTTATATAAAAAAAATAATATATCATGTTATTGTTATTTTTTTATTAATTATGAAACAAAATTTTGGATGATAAATTTAATTAGAATAATTTAAAAAACTAATATATATATATATATATATATATATATAATTAAAAATAGAAAGACTAAAATTTCATATAAATTAAATTATTAGGTCAAAAGTATAATTAAACTAAAACAAAGAATAAGTGACAGGTAAAATAAATTATATAGAATATCATACTTAACAAAACTATTATATATATATTAGAAAAGGGAAGGAGGAGGTGAACCAAACAAGCCTGTAACCTATGTCTCTCATTTGTTATTAACAGGAAAATGATAGAGGACGAAGATAAACTTGACGAAACACTATGAACTGAGCTGTTACAATTTCATTGATATTTAATTGATTTTCGTTTCGTTTCAACTTATCCACATGTGATCATACATTCCGTGATTGGTTACTATGGATTCATAACATTTTCGTGCTAATGACTTGGTACGAAATAGCAATTCTCGTTATTCATATTCAAAATGAATAAAAGGTAGAGGATAATAATACCTCATAAAATTACATTTCACATCGATAGTGACAGAATTCAGAACACATGCACACTAATTAGAATGAGATCAAATACGAAGTTGGAAATTGAACTTTAATTCACCGAATTATATATGCTTGGTTCACAACACCTTTGGAGCTAGCTAGTTGTAACTTTTTCTTCCAAATGAACTCGAGGGATATATATAATTAGCATTTTTTCACTCTATACATACACAAAAATGAAGGGAGCTAGGGAGAGACCGACAGAGTAATTTCCTCAAACTAGTGTGCATGTGATGAATGATAATAATTGAGTTTATTCAATATATTAGAGCGTTGATTATGGGTACCTAATAGGCTGTGAAATTTAAAATTGACTGAAGCTATTAAATTCCATCACATGGTGATGCATGCACGAATAGGGTGGGCTTGGTCTCCTCCAAAACCTTAGGTTACTATAAATTGCTCAGCAATTAATTCATATTCATTGTGATTCTTCTATCTATCTGAACAAGAAAGTAAAATCTGAATCCAAACGGTATATTAACCCACAACATGTGCCTCTCAGAAGCATCACAACATATTTGATAAAACGCGGCTTTGTCTTTAGGAAACCAAACAGTGACTTATAACTGTTACGTGAATACTGATCAATAAAGCTTTGATTTTAGAGGCATCTTTCAGTCACACTTTGTTACCTGTTGCCAGGTTATTATTATATAGACCCTCTTTTTTTCAACTATGCAGAGTGAGTTATAGAACTTGCAGCTGTGATGGTTTTGTATCCTCTTTTCACGTGTGTCTTCTGAGTATAACACATTTATGGCATAGTTTTACACACACATATATATATATATATATATATATGCATAAATTCAAAAAACAATCATTTTTCATATCTATTATGTGCAATGTTATAAAAGTTAAAAATTAAATAAATTGTTAACTACGTACATTTAAAAAACATAAATACGATAAAGGACACGAATACAATATGACAAAGACATAAAAGAAAAATATACAGAACACAACACGACTATAATATAATGCATAAAATTAATAAAAGATAATATAAAAACACAATCTTAAGATAAAGAGAGATTTTTAATTTTAACATAAGTCACTTTAAACATAATAAAATGATATTATTTATATAATAAAAATATTTGCATCTCTTTTATATAAAAATTCAATTTTTTTAAAACTATATAAAATATAAGTAGAAATGTCTAACATAAATATATATTAACGTGATTATAATCACTATTTTGAAATGTATTTTTTAAATGATTGTTTAGAAAAGGAATTTCAGAATATATATTTTAAATAAATATACTTAAAATTAATATCTTTAAAATAAAAAATATAAATTAATATATTAACATAAATTTAATATATTTCTCTTTTCTCTTCCTCTTCAAAAACTTTTTTCTAAACATACCTTGGAATATAAAACAATGATAGTAAAGGTATAGTAATCATATATTTTAATAATTTCTTTTCACTTTTATTTATTTAACTAGTCTTTCTTACTTAACATTTACCTTTAAAAGTGTTTCTTAATATAGAAGGCAATTAGTGAAATGAGATATGCATGATGTAAATTAACCGTGTCTACACATGCATGCATGCCATTCATGAATGAAACGTTACCTGAGGGTCAAATTCTGTGTTGTTAAAGTTGGAATAGATCTATGATATGTAGGTGAAGCAAAATTGGAAATTTATCATTCATTTGGAAGAATAAGAAGCTAGTCCCACAAATTCTTGTTTTCCTCTGACATAGGGAACTGTCATTGCTCCCCTCTAACTTTCTTCTTTCAGCTTTAGAAGTCATGGTGCTTTGTCCTATCTTTCTAGATGCCAGATCCATCTTAATGTAAAAATGAAAGGTAAGAAAATGTAAAATGGAATGTGAACAAACCATGAACTGAGGCTGTGAATGTGGAAACAGAAAAGGGTAATTTATTTACTTTCTGACCAACAAAATTGTCTCTTTCCATTCAACCTTTTCTTAATTACCAACATACATAGCTGAAGCAGCCGAATACTTTCTTATAAATTGGGTTAAAGGGAAGCAATTTTTCAGGTGGCCTCCTTTTATCTTTAGTATGACAATTTTTTTTTGGCAGAATTCCCTGTTCTTTTGTAGTTAATTTCTGCACTTTGCTGTGCTTTTGTAGTCAACTAACATTGATCACCAGCAAAGATTAAATAATGAAAATTTCCTTATTTATATTATGTTTGGAAAATTAAATCTTAACAAAAAGTATTTCTCAAATATTTTCTCACAAAATTGATAAAAATAAGCTATTGTTTTTCCAAAATAAACTGAACAGAAACATATTTTGAACGGAAGTTTAAGGGAAAGAGTTTCAAGACGAGGACATGTGATACAGACCTAGGAAACTTGCAATAAATTAGATTAGTTCATGACTATAAAAATTCACTTGCAATTTATTATATATGAGAAAATTACCTTCGAAAACAGCAACCAGTTAACACTTTTCAATTTGCATATTGTTACTCTCTTTAAGTTCAACTTGTAGAGAAGTACTTAATATTTTTAGCATTTTACCATCCGCATTGAATGACTGCTGTCTTTATTTTCTCCACGTAAGAAATACAAACCATGAGTATATAAATTCTTTCATCTATTAAAATTTAAATTTATTATAAAATTATTACTGTCATATTCGAATTTCATAAATAAAAAGTAACTCTATGTTGAATGTGATCTTAATAAAAAGGGGACCTCAACCACTCACTGTACATAAAATCTAGAACCCAGTTCATTCTTGTGCATGTAGCGCTAGGGGTCACCAACCCTACAAATCCCCTCCTCTCCTTGCACCTTCAAAATTCATTCATTCCTAAAACCCTTTTTGAATTTGAGTATTTGTTTGTGAAGCAAATAATCAAAGTTAGCTAACCATAGCATTCTTCAATAAACATGACCATCAGGAACTCTTGTCTTATGTTCTTCATGTGCTTCATAATGCCCTTTCTTGTATTTTGTGATGTGGGAATGCATTCAGGTACATACTTCAGAAACAACACCTTTTCTTGCCTTTCTCTCTAACGATTAATCCTTCCCCTATCCTGAGAAGATTACATAATGTTGGCAGGTCCTTCATCCCAGATTATGCATTCTCACCATGAAAACAAAAACAGGTCCATAACAGTGTCAGTGAAAGCAGAACATGCACACTCTTCCTCTAGAAAATTTTGGTTGCATGGTATACTACATATGCAATTCTCTATTTGTAAACTTAAGTGTTCCAACTGAGATGAAAAAATATATATACTAGTGTGTTTGGTTTCATGTTCAAATGCATGTGGATCCACGTTTGTTTCAATACTAGTACTTGTAGGTTCTGCTTCCAAACACACGCTGTTTTTTTCTTTCTTTTTTATTTGCCTCCCTTTTAACTTCGCCTTTGATCATTATCAATTGATCAGGTTCTTGCACACAAAGAGACATAAGCATCTCACAAAGCAAAAGTTCTACATCAGGAATACCACAGTTCATTGTGCAAATTGTTAACACTTGTGTTTCTGGGTGTTCTCCTTATGATATCCACCTCCATTGTGGCTGGTTTGCTTCAGCAAGAATAATCAACCCCAGATTGTTCAAGAGGCTCTCCTATGATGATTGCTTGGTGAATGGTGGGAACCCTTTAGCCTCTACTCAGATCATCAGATTCACTTATGCCAATTCCTTCATGTATCCTCTTGCATTCAAGTCTGCCAAATTTTGCTAAGTCCAAAATATAAGTTCTAAAGAAGAAGAAGAAAACATAGACTTCCAAAAAATGATAACCCCCCTTATGTCGACCACCTTGTTGATATTAACCATTGAAATTATAGCACGCTGTTTTACCTTTAGCTCTGTGTCGTTTTCTTTTGTATATGTAAATGAACAGTAGTCTTTACTCTTTACCAACTATACTATGCCTCACACACTTTTCAATCCCTTTAAAAGGAATTTCCATTACATATGGAATTTTGAAATTTCCAAGTTACAAAAATGTTTGCGTCATGCTGCATAACATACACTTTAAGATACCAATCTACACCATTTTCTTCCTCTTTAAGGTCTCTTTTTGTATTGCATTTTTTGTTCTTTCTCTTGCCACCATTTTCAAATTACATTTTTTTAGTTTTTTCTCTTTTCTTTTTCCACTTCTTACATTCCAAAAATAAGATACATATAGTCATCATTAATCTTGTATTAAGTATTTTTATCATATTTTATGATTATCATTCATTCATGTTATATAACTACATCCAAACTTTATTTCATCAGGAGAGGTTGACTACATCATATAATATGAAACTGAATAAATTTTTAAAATTATAAGCATTAGTTAATTAGTCTATAAAATTATAAAAATGTCATTTAATTAATCTCTAAAATTACTTAATATTTATATTAACACAAATAAAAATTAACATAATTGAATAAAGTAAAGTATTTCATTACACTTATATTGTTTATGTTTATTTTTAAAATATTAATTTTATCTTCTGTTTAAATTTCATAACTTATATTCATGTCAGGAATAAAATTTATCATATACATTTTTTTATTAATCCTCTTGTTTATTAGATAAAGAAAAAATTAAAGTGTTTTTATGTTTATAAAATATTAAATATTTTATACCTTTATTTAGTACTTTCTTATAAATCAATAAAAAGATGTATAATAGAATTCTATAAAAAGATATCACGTTACTCTAACTTGTACATTAAAATCTGCTGATTATGCAGTACATGCATTCATGGTGCAGTGAGTGTGCTACCTCTCTTTTATTTTACACAAGCAGGCAAACATAACATAGAAAAGGGAGAGGGTTGTCTGTGTCCATTTTTCTCTCACCACACTTGAAACTAAGCAGTTCTGAGAGTCAGCATAGGTTAGACTCAAACATAGGTGAGAAAATGACAATACCCTGCAACCACAAAAAAGGTGTAACCTCTCCCTTTTCCCTATCCTTTCTCACTAGTCTTTGTTAGGAAAGGTGGTTGTGTGTCAGCCCATAGCAATAAGGGCTCACAACTTTTTAAAAAGATTCAAACAATTTTGTAGTTTGAATTCTACTCAAACATACATTTATTTAATATTATAAGTTGTAAATTTTTTTGTTGAAAAGTAATTTAACAAAATTTTATACCGTTTTCAAACACACCTTCTTATGACATCTTTAAGTTTTATTCCCTTTTGCGGGCAATAGTCATTATGTTATGTTTGTCTTTTGTTTTTAATGAAAAAAGATGTGGCTTTTTTTTCTTATTGTTCTTTATAGGCTAAGGTGAACTAAGTAGACCCTACACGGCTACATGTACATTTTGATTGCATCTCTAGGTATTACTTATCGAGGCTTTGTAGGTCGAGCAATTAATCATCAAATTTAGCAATTACTAAATCTGTTGAGGTGTGAAGAAAAACAATACTTGATACCCTCTTTTCTAGGTATGAGGCAGTAACTTGACAATGACATAACCTGTACGAGAAATTGAGAGAAAAGTAAATATAAACTCATGAAAGAGAGGGAAAGAATGTCATTCTTTTACTAGAGATGCTACTTATACATACACACATTTATTGTCATAAAAAATATAACTCTTCTCTTAGTAATAGTATGAACCAAGAATGATCCTGGATACATTGCTCCACTGATTCTAGAATAAGAAAAGATAATACATGAGAAAAAAAATCTAAATAAAAATAAAAATTATATATTTTCATAGAATTATATAACTTAAATTTAAACTAATTCAAGTTATTTTTAAATAACACTCAATCTGATTCTAAGCAAACAACATTAAGTGCTGGCCTTAAAACATAAAGCTAAGTGCCCCCAAAAGGGCATACATCAAAATTTTCAGTTAAGTTGTTGTCTCCCATAGTCTTAAGTAGCCGAAGCTACCCTTCATCACTGACTTCACATGGGCTGTGACTAGTTTTTAATAACCCAAAATCCGACTTTTGCTACCCAATTATTATGGATGCATGTACCAATATTATATTTGTTAGGTACTTTCTTTTCACCTTTTTTTTATCTTTTAAATGTAAAATTATGAAATATATTAATTATTTTTAAAATTAAATTCTAAATTTCATTTTCAAAATTTAATTTCTAAAAGAGTCGTGCAAAAATAAACAAACCATTTGTTATGAAACGGACCATCATACACATGTTCCTATCAAAGCGACCTGTTGGTCCAATTCTTTGATTCAAAACTACCTAATCTCTTGTTAATGTTGCACAATATGGAAAAAGAAAATATTCAGTTACATTGAGAAAAACTTTACCCAAAAAAATGGAAATGCATTGAAAACTAATTATCAGATAAAATAAAATAAGGAAGTTGAAACTACTGCTCCATCTTAGATTTTTCTTTTTTTCAAATACCAACTTATTTTGTTAAATTATTTGATTGAAAAAATTCAGACGCTGCATTTTTCATCAATAGTAGCTGCATCGTGTTATTTATTCTAAAAAAGTTGGTTTTGGAATATTTTTAAATGGAAATTAAAATAAAAATGTTGAAAATTATTAAATAATTATTCCAAAAATAAAGTAAGTAATATATTTGTTTTAATTATTAATTTTGAAAATACTTGTTACCGATGAAATAAAAAATTAATTATATGCATGTTTAGTGTAATGAAAGTATACTGTAACACATATTGTTTGATTAATAAAATATAAACAACAATGTATTATTATATAATTTTCAAAGTGAAACTCTTTCATAACCAAAAAGTTATATGAATTTAACTTATATAGTAATCGATTTGCCAATTTTTTTTTTCATAATTTAATACGTTACCGATTAAAAAAATTAACCGTCTCTTTTAATTTACCCAACATGACTCAAATTTATAATTCATTCATTTATTAACGATACTTCCTCTATTTTATATTAAATGTTTATAAATAATTTTTGTTGGTATCACATTATTTATTATTTTAAGATATAAAAATATTAATTACTTATTTTTCAATAATATATTTTTATTGAAAATAATTTTAACAACTAACTACTATAATCACTTAAAAATATTTTTTTAATTAACTGTTTTTTTGTGAAAACAAAGCAAATAAAAAAATCATAATTTTTTAATTAACTACTATAATCAATGCTTTTAATAGAGATCTTTTAGTTAAATAATTTACTTTACCATAATAATTAATAAACTAATATTTTATAAAATGTATGTATTAATATAAGTACATCTAAGAAGACAGAGGAAGCAATTCATTTTAATTTTAACGTTAATAATCTTGGATTTTCCCTAATTATAAAATATGCTAAATATATCAGACTTTTTTTATTAAAAAAATAAAATAAATTGCGTATTTATCCGTTGACAACACAGCAGTAACTTGGTGTGCTTGTTCTTGGGATAATGGCTCTCAGATTTTTCTGCACTGCATACATTTCAACTCAACATCTTGCTTCTGCTAAAACTCCTGTTTCCTCTTCTCTCTCTCTGACAAATTCATGCATGTGTGTTGAGAACCTGAAGAGCCTCTTGAACAGTGTGGTTTCATCTTCTCCACTTGAGTCTCTCCAAAGAGGCAACTGGGTCAAGCTCATTTGTGGTGCAAGCTTTGAGGTATGCAAAATTCAAACACTCTATTCTCTTCCTTTCAGTTTCTCATGCTTAAAATCTATAATTCTCTTTATTTAGGATGTTGTTGATATCAGAAATCTCAGTTTGGTTTACACTCTTGCTGGAGGTATGGATTCTGTAATTATAATTTGTTTGGGAGTGATCAAACAGAAAATAAATGCTAATTATCATACTGTGGCTTTTTTTCTTCTTTGTCCGTTACTTTCCCATTTACCTGAATATAATTATATAAATTATTTGGCTATAAACAAAAATTATGCATTTTTTTTTTTGGTCTCGTTGTTAAGTTATGCAAACTTGACTTGATTTAAATTTGATTATGTTATTATATGGTTTTGCATGCAGTTGACTGCATTGACTGTGCTGCTGATGCATCGGTTGTCAATGCTGTGAATGAAGGGATTGAAGCTGCAAGAGATATTACATGCCTTAGAAGACCGTGGGTGATGATTAGTGTCAATGATGATAAAGATCTTCACTTTCGTAAGGCTGGTTAGTTCCAATTGGACTCACTAGTATGCATTATGTGTCAGCATCAGTATTGGTAAAGAATCTTGCGATATAGTTTGATATGCTAACATACTTTTGTTTTTCATGTGGCCATGTGGACATCACATCATTTGAAGTTTCGCGATTGGATTGTGTTTAGAATGGTTTTTTTACATATAGGGGGCGTTTAGAAGAGCTTATGAAAATAGCTTTTGATTCTTATAAGCTCTTTCCAGTTTATCACAATAAGTTTCATGATCAAATTTATGGTATGAGTCAAACAGTTCAGAGTTGAAGATGTCTACTTACTAAGTATGTGGTGAGAGACTTATTTATTTCAATGTTGATAAAGTGGCAGTTTAATATTTAAAACATGAACTTTTACTCCTTGTTAAATTTATGATGTTGACAACAGGGCCATGAGCATTCAGCAGAAGTTATTCTGAAAACAGAACATGAATTAAGAACATTTGTGTTCTTTGTATAGATTTTTCTTTTATATTACTTCTTTGTGTTCCCATATTGTTCCATGCCACTACGAAAGCATGGCCATCTATTCATATTTCTAAAATATGAACAAGGGTTGTCATAGGTCGAATGCCATGCCACTAGGAAAGCATGGCCATCTCTTTATGATCATTATATTAAAATCTTTTCTCAAATGATAAAGGTTCCATATGATACATCTGGTTTAATTGCTACTTTGAGTAAATGTAAAGCTTAATATACCACTTATTGGCAATTAATGAATGTTGAAGTAATGTCTTCTGAACAGAATTTGATCCAGAGGACTGTCCAGCAGACTGTTCACGGCCTTGTGAAAATGTGTGCCCTGCTAACGCAATATCATTCCAAGGGAAATCTACTTTAGGAGTTTCATATAATACTGAAGTACCTAGAGTACTAAAGGTTTTAATTTGATCTTACTTAAATTTTTTTAAAACCTAAAAGCTATCATTTTAAAAATTAAAACTGGTAACGTTCAATTGGCTTGAACATGCAGGATGGAGTCATAACAGAACGCTGCTATGGCTGTGGTCGCTGTCTTCCAGTTTGCCCCTATGATAAAATAAGTGGGATAATTTCCAGTTCCAGCTGAGATTATATGTTCTTCAATTAATTGTTTAGTTGAATTATGTTTAGTTACTTTCTCTGTGATATTTGGTTTTCAACAATATATACTTTTTACATTGAGCCAGGAGCGGTAACATATGTTAGGGATGCTGTTACAACTGCTGATCTCATCAAGAGAAATGATGTTGATGCTGTGGAGATACATACAAGTGGGAGGTAATATTAATTTTGGAATTGATTGTTTTAAATAATACTTGGATATAACTGTAATCACTTTGGAAATATGTCCACAATTTTATCAAGTAATAAATGGATGATTCTCAATTCCCATGTACATATAATGTGTTCACCAAGCTCTCTGTGCTTGAGGCTTTGCACAACCATGTCCTCATAGATGGGTTTTCTCTTTTCTTTTCATTTTTCAAGGGAAGGGATTGGAAAAATTCAGCAGATTTTAATAATAAGGCTTGGTTGTTGTTGTTGTATGTTTTATCTATGATGTTTATGTAATGTCCCTAAATTCACTTCCTAATGTGGCCTATGATCCTTCTATAGACAGAGTACTATGTTCAAAGAACTCTGGCATGCTCTAGGAGATTCAGTGAAAAATTTGAAGCTGATAGCAGTAAGTGGTGCCTCCAATCTATTATAATATTTCAGGGATATAAGTAAAGTAAACTTTTCTATAAATAATTAGCCTCTTGGCATTTGAGTGAAGAATTTATTATTAATATTGTCCAGGTTAGCTTACCAAATGGTAGCGATTCAACAATATCCACTATGAACAAATTGTTCTCTATCATTAAACCTAATCTTCAAAGCTTCAACTTATGGCAGGTGTGCCTCTGAACGATATCAAAATTTTTATACGCCAAATTTTATTCCATATTTCTTTTAACAAGCTCATCTATGTCTTACATTAACTCAAGTTAGATGGCCGTCCTATGAGTGGAGATATTGGGAGAGGAGCAACAAAGGAATCAATTGCCTTTGCTGTTCAATTGGCTAAAGCAGAAAAAAGACCTCCTGGTTTGTATTCATAATTCATTTAATGGTCTTTTGAAAGCCTTCAGGGTTTATATCTATCCTGATTCTTTAATGTTTTGAGTCCCTTAATATGGTAGGTTTTCTTCAACTTGCTGGTGGAACTAATGCTCACACAATTGATGGGTTGAAGCAAGAGGGTCTCTTTCAAACAACTATTACAGGTAATGTTGCACTTTGTTACTTTGTATATTCTCTTATTACTCACTCTTTTCTTTATTTCATTATAAGCCTTCTTTCGTGTTAACTATTCCTTAGAGTATTTACTTGATGTTACGTCAACAATCAACCCATCTTATTCATCGCATGCTCTAATTAGCGGCATAGCTTATGGTGGCTACGCACGGAAGGTAATAAAGCATTACTTATGCCCAATTATAAAATTTTGAGTTTGTTTAAGTTACTCTGTAGTGTGAATAATTTCATTTTAAGTAAACTAATGAGATTTTATCTTTAAAATGTTAAGTGAAAAATTGATGTAATTTTTAATATACTGTTTTAACTTAAACTATTCACATAGGATGTAGTTATTTATTCTATGGGATAACTTAGACTAGCCCTTAAATTTCCTTTCTGTTTCCATCATTATTATATGTGGTTAATTTAAAGTATAGATGTGAGACACATCCGTGTGTATTAAGCTACTCTGTTAGCGTATGTTTTAATTACCCTTGTTTTCCTCATAATAATACTAATACTAATTTGTTGGCTTATAATAAAAAGAGTCATATCATGTGACTGTGGCATGCCAATTTATATCGAAACTTAAGATGCACATCTTTATTTGTACAGATTGTTGGTAGAGTATTGAGATCCATGCAAACCCAATATGGGGAAGCTGCTTCAATTGAGGATCATCCCGAGCATCTCTTGATGGCTCTAAAGGAAGCACTTGCTTTGGTTGGACCTGTAAAATGTCTATGAATATGATCGATGACAACTTCATAGTCACCCATGATAGCTATATTTGAAAGTGTGTGTACACCAAGGAAGAATAGAAACTTGTTAACAGATTGACAATAATGTTATTATATCCAAGCTTTTTGGATACCATAAAATTCACTTACTATAGGTAGGATTTTATAGTAATCTAAGTAAGGGTAGTTAATTACTTTTTTTAAAAGAAGACTTAAATCTATGATATAATAAGAGTTGAATGGTTGTTTAATGTTTAACATAATATTGGATGAGACCGTTGTAAAATCAATACGAGGTAGTACTTAAACCAACTTATTTTCAGGTTTTTTTTTCAAGGAGAAATTGGGTTAAATATAATATTTATAAAAAAAAAAAAATTTGCTTACCTCTCTTTTAGTTTACAAGCCACTTTAAAGTTAGAAATAAGAGTTTTAAATTTAAGATTATAGTTGTTTAATTGTTTATTAATTTTAAGAGCCACTTTAAATTGAAAAATAAGAGTTTTAAATTTAAGTTTATAATTATTTTATATTTTCTTAATTCTTTAAGCCTAAAATGTTATTTTAAATTAAAATTTCTCGTAGCTATATTTCTAGACCTTGAGATTTGAAATAAAAAAAGTAAAGTGAAAAGACAAAACTGCCTAAAACTAGTTTGTTTTTAGAAGTTTCTTTATCTTAATTTTTTTTTCACTAATTTTTACAGACACTGAAAATTGATTTTTTAATAACTTTTTAAATATCATAACTAATTTCATTTTTTATTTAAAAAAGTTTGAACCGATTTTTTTATTAAATATAAAATGCGTGTAGGGTATACCCTAGAATCGGAAAGGATTACTTTATTTTATAATTTTTTATTTTAATTTAATCATTTATCTCTTTTGTTGTTGTTTTGCATTTCAATCTTCTATTTCTTTTTTGCTTCAATTCAAGTCCTTTTTAATGAAGTTGTTGATTTTAGTTACAATAAAAGTATTACAAAAAGATTTTTTTTTTCACAAATTGCAATGATAAAAATCATTATAATTAAAAATTTATAATAAAATAAAATTAGTTAAATTAAAATTATATTTAAATAAAAAAATCAAGAATAAAAATATTAATATTACCCGTAAAATTGTAGCTTTCCGAATTGTTTAACTAGGCGGGGGTCACTTCAGGGAATCCATTACATATTATCTCATCCTTTGATAATTTGAGAGTAGAAAGATGGAACAATTTCCCACTTGTTTGTTTCTTTTAAAGGAGCTTAAAGGGTTTAATGAACACAAGAGGGGTCCTCGTTTCCCATGCTATGCATATTTTACTTAAGCATGGGTCTACAATCTCCATTATATTGATTTGCACTGACATTGACAATGCATATTTGTTTAACTTTTTAAATTACTTTTCTTCACAATCACAATCTCACATTGCTATTCATAAAATTTTGGAGTGACTTTCAAGGCATATCAGTTCCAATCATTCGAGTATAGGAGATTACAACAAACAAAATGTAGAGTACCATATATTTGTCATTTGAGCCTTGCTTTACACGAATGGATCCATTCACCAATGCTTGCAACTATAAGCATTGATTTCTCTTTATTTATTTATTTGAAAGTGTAAAATCATATTTAAATTATTTTATTAAGGCCAAATTGACTTACACTTCAACAAATATCACTAATGACCTTATAATTTATTTTTTCAAAAAATCAAGTTACTTTCCCTATCTTGTCATAATTATAAGACAAATACACATATAATATTATATTCAATTTAATTTTAATTAATTTTATCAACAACTCTTTAATTAAATTATTTAAATTTATAATTTTAAGATAAGAATATATATATATATATATATATTATTTTTTTAAATTCAAAATCAGATACCCTAAAGAAGCTTAAGATTAAATCACGCTCGCAATTTATCACTATTTTGACTAAACATAGTAAATGCAACAAGACCTTATATTACACTGTGATAAGATAAGTTTATATTAATCAAACATATTTTGTATTAAGATAAAACTATTATTTTTAAAACATAATTATGTTTTTTAGGTAGTAAATAATTTACATATTATTTAAAATGTTTAAAATTGGTAATGTAATTATCAAACTGAGGCTATTTTAAATATAATTTATAAAAAATGTTATAAAAATATGGTTTTTTATTATATAGTAATCCGAACATTATGATCAATACGTTAATATTGTTTTTCTATTTTAAAATAAATAATATTATAAAAATAATGCTTGCATTATTAGCCCGTGGATTCCGTAATTAATTAATATTATTATGTTTAGCTTGAGTTCCACGTGGAATCAAATTTGTCTATTACCGGAGAAGTTGCATAAAGTTATTTATTTATTTATTTCTTGAGGGGGTTACATCGCATAAAGTTAATTTAAAGGTTAATTTTACCTATACAAGTAATATAAAAAATATATAATGTTTGCACAAATCTATGGAAAATTTTAAATGCCAAATTACGTTTTTTACGATAATATTGCATTCTAACTATCAATAGCATTGATGATATTAATTATTTTTAATTTCATTTTCATCTTTTAATATTTTCATCCCCTTTTTTTATGGGAAAACATATTACGGTTTCTAGTTTTAAGTCATTTAATTTTACCCACACGATCTTAATTTCCTTTGAGCGCAATAGCATTAATAAGAATTAACAAGACACGTAGCATAATTTGACTTTAAGTTCACGCCACCAACAACATTTAGGCCATGGCTGAGCTGTACTAACATTGTTTTTTATGGCTCAACGTACCTTCATTCCCTGCCATTGAAGTCAAGCAGAGTCCTCTAATTATCATCTGGCCAACAACTTTTTCCTTTTCAATTTTGTATTATACAAATATAATATAAAACATAAAGTTTAATTTAGCATTTTAGTAGAAGTTGCATTCTGAAAATTAATCAGAACCTTTAAGCACAAAGCACAATAACCCATCAGAAATAGTTGGGGTCCGTGTAGGAGTATAAATATTCCACTTAATAAGTCGTCATTGAGATTAGGATTCTTTAACTTCGGTCTCTTCTCATTAATCTCGGCTACCCTACAATTAATTTTCATAGTGTTTACGCAAAAATCCTTGTGTCCTAACTCATCCTTGTGTGGAAATCTTATTAAATTGCAGTGTTGAATGTATTTGATCATGATTGCATTCATAAGGGGCTACCTACCTCAGGCTATGGGAATCCGTTGTGAAAATTCCATCTATATTTTAAGGAAAAAACTTAAATATTATTTCATGATACTTTTTAATAATTACATCTGAGCTTTGTTTATAATACATATATGAATTGACCTTTTATATATATATATATATATATATATATATATATATATATGCACACAGTGGCAGATTCAGAATTCGTCAGAGAGTGCAAAAACATAAAATTAGAGGATACAAAATATTAAAAAAATTATATTATTAATAGTAATTTATTAAAATTGAAAAGGTTTATAAGAGTTGCATCCCCACAGCATGCACACATTACATATATAGCCTAGGTAACTGGATATAAATACTTTAGTATTTATACTTGTATAACTTTGCAAGCTTTTTTTTTTTTTGGAGTACCTGTTCAATATTATGTCCATTGTTATTTCTATAGTTAATAATTATTTTATTATTAATTTGGTGTATTTAATAAAATATATTTATTTTGTATTATATATTACTTAATTGCTTTTTATTTATTTTAAATTATTCGTCATTTTTAAAATATAAAAATGTATTAATTATTTTTTCTATAATAACCTTGTATATTAAGGATAATTTTTACCAATAATAAAAATAAATTTATTGCAATATTTTAAATTACGTAATGTCTTGTAATTTCAATAAAATTTAAATAAATCAAAATATTTTTATTTTTTTAAAATTCTCTACTTGTTAAATAAAAAATATTATATGTTTTTATGCTTTTCAAATTATATATATATATATATAATATTTATTTTCTAAAATAGAAAAAAATAAATATGAAAAAAATATAACAAAAATTGAATAGGTTATTATTTGTAAGCTCTATATGTTGATATTAAAAAAAACATTAAAACTAAAATAACGTAGGATCAGCCAATTGCCAAAAGTGATCCTACCTACCTCCCACTTCGCTTGTGCTGGTATTGTTTAATTTGATTTGAATCTAACAGTGGACAAAGGAGGTTAAGTAAAATTTGTACAGCGAACAAGCTAACTACCACGCTCCACGTGACTAAATATTCAACTCACACACACATCCACTCTCACTATATAAACTCCTCTCTACCCTACCTTCCATTTCCCGTCTTTCCCTTCCAACTCGCTCTCGACTCAGTTCCTGTCCGATTCCCCAGGCGAGTGAATCAGGTACACTCTCTAACTAACCACCAAACCATGCTTCTTCCCTTTGCCATCCATCCTAGATCTCCAATTCCCTCATTTCCTCATCTTAATTCCCCTGTCCTTCTCAATTCTTCCTCCTTTGCTTCTAAATTCGATATCTGCGAGTGTTTAGGGATACTCTCTCTGCATATTCCACGATCTTCTCGTTTTTGTCGCTTTTTTTTTTTCGTTGATTGTTTGCAGTTCAAGTTTCGTGGATCGTACTTGCATTTTAGGTAGATTTGGCTTTGACTTGTGCTGGTAGTTGCGGCTTTTGTTTTCGTAGAGTGGATGATCGTTGGCATTTTGGTTGCTTTGGAGTGATTTTAACGTTATTATTATTTAATGTCTCTCTTGTGTGGTTGGTTGGAAGTTGGTGTTGTTTGGTTGCAGCAATGCAAACTTCTTGTTCCGATTGTGGATCTGCTTCGTTCACAAGTTTCCTTCTCTTAATTTTCTAATTAAATAGTGCAATTCTTCGTTTCTGTTCTTGTGATCAATTTCGTTGGATGCGTGTGATGTTGCCTTCCTTTGTGAAGTTACAGAGATTTCTAATTCTGGCTTGCTTCTCATTGAGATCATAACTTCTTTCCCCGCAAAAACTCGAGGTTTTTGGTTTTTGGCTTTTCTCGCGTTAGGAATGTCGTCGATCTACCCATTTTTGTTGCATCACTAGTTTATGCGTCTTTTCTGATTGGTTTTTACTTCATCCTTTGATGTTTGGATAGTTTTCTATTTGGTTAATC